GTTGTGTGCGACGTCGTGTGAACACACGGAAAAATAAAGCGCAATAGGGCAGGATTTAGTGTGGATTGGGTCTGCTTCAGACCCCGTGTGATAACGTCCATACAGTATATATACCTACTGATCAAAATGCCTTCAACCTTGTGAGCTATATCTCCAAGGCACCATTGCTTGTGAGTACAGAGCTGCACACTATGCATTCAATATATTGTGGAGTTTAGCTCTCAGGCTACTAAAAATCTAGAGTATACTCCTAAACCAAAGCTTTCAGCTGATCCCCATGAACCAAACTGCTCACTGTTGGCCCCTTCTTTCATGAAATGAATACTGCTCCAAAGTATTGTAAGACAAGGAAGGAATCAACCTTGGCTGTTTTATTATTATTTGCCATCAAGTCAACTTTGACTTATGTAACTTATGTCAACCCTATGAGACACCTCCAAGATCCCCAGTCAACAAGTGCCTTCCTCAGGTCTGCAAACTCAGGGCCATGGCTTCCTTGATTGAATCAATCCATCTCTAGTTCAGTCTCCTTTTCCTCCTATCTTTCCACTTTGGAGGTCTTTAAACAGAGGCTGGATGACCATCTGTCAGGAATGCTTTGATTTTGCATGGCAGGGGGTTCCACTGGATGGCCCTTGAGGTTTCTTCCAACTCCATAATTGTATAACTTCTAAGACTTCCCAAGCATTATCATCTTTTTCAATGAGTCAATTATCTACTGATATGTCCAAAGTGCTATGACACAATTTAGCATAGCTGCCAGGTCATCAGAACCACATTCTGTGAGATTTCAAGACCAAACATGTGGACAAGGGGATGGGTCCCGCTGATATCATGGAACAAACTATTGGTATGCTTCAATAGCAATAGCACTTTACATTTACATACTGCTTCATAGTGAACTAAGCACTCTCTAAGCAGTTTACAATGTATTAGCCAATTGACCCAAACAATCTGGGTACTCATTTTACTGACCTATGACAGGATGGGAGCCTGAGTTAACCTGGAGCCTTGCAGAATCGAACTCACAATGTTTGGGCTCCAGTACCGGCATTTAACCACTGTGCTACCAGGGCTCCCTACAATGCCACTGGGCGAGGCAGGCAAGTGTTGAGAGAGGGCGGTCTGGACCAACTGGTTAAGCAACTGGGCACAAGAGCAATCCACATAAAAACCTAACAAATCAGGCAATATGGGAACCCAGAATCAGAAGCAGAAATCATTTTTTTGGTTTTGTGCAGGCAACAAAATGCATTTTCTGCTGCAATGATTGCTGCTATTTCCTCTCCTCATATCCCACAGGGACTTCCCTACAGCACACAATACATGGGGAGTTTTGCCACACCTGGCACTGCTGCTGGGGTTTGTGGAAGGGTCAATGCCAGTTCACAGGGAATTTATTTTTCTCAAATCCTGTGATTCTTCAGCTGCTACATCTTCTGCAACAAGAGGGTTCAAGTGGGTTGCCGTGCTGGCATTCCACTTCTTGCCTTATACCAAATGGCACAATGGTATCAAACTGGTGCTTTTTTCCCCCAATGCCCTCTTCTTGCTCAGCATTTTTTTAGTGTGTTTATGCATGCAGAAGCACACAGCACATACACCCACCTTTCTGCAAAGCCAGGGAGGCCTGGCAATAGCTAGCAATAGTTGGAGATAATTGCCTAGTTTTAAAGGCAGCTCACACACAGAATTGTTACTCTCTCCCTCTACCTCTCCCAGAGATTTGTGTCCTTGCCTGGAGATGCAGACCCATTCCCTGGGACCTCACTGCTGGTGCCCTGAGACTACAAGCTGAGTGTCCCTTACCCAAAATGCTTGGAACCACACTCTTTTGGATTTTTGTACATTGAACCATCAGAAAGCAAATGTATCACTATCTCAGCAACCAATGAAAAAAGTTTTGGGTTTTGGAACATTTTGGGATTCCAGATAAGGGAGACTCAACCTGTATTGAGTTGGGAAATCCAACCACAATCCTATATATGATGACTCAGAAGTATGTTCCACTGTGTTCAGTTGTGTTTTCCTTCCAAGTAAACATACATAAGATTGCAACCTCAATTCACTTTCTATCCTGCCCTTCCAAAGGGCTTGCAGCAGGCAACAAGCAGTGCTCACTTTCAGCACTGTAAATACAAAATGCCCATTTCAATTGGAGTCACTTCATACTTGTTGAACCCTTGCCACTGAATGCCAACCCAGAGAGAATTTTTTTCCAAAAAGCATGTAGACTAGAGACCCAGACTGCACAGATCTGTAGGGCAGTAGTTCCCAAATCTGAATCCTTAATACATTTTGGACAAGTCCTAGACTCCCTGAGCATTAGCCATGCTGTGCATTCTTGGAGCTGAAGTCCAACGACATCTGGTTCAGATACCACTGCTATGAAGGTGGACAAGGTATGGTTCTCTAAGCTGTTGAACTGCAATTCTTATCAGCCCTAACCAAAACAGGCAATGGTGGGATCTTTCTGGCATTTTAATTCAGCAACACAAGCCAATGTGGTGGAGTAGTTTGAATTCTGAACTAGGATTCTGGGAGACCAAGGTTCAAATCTCTCCTCAGCCCTGGAAACCCACAATCTCAGCCTCATAGAAAGGCAAAGGCAAATCTATTCTGAACAGATTTTGCCTTAGGATTGCCATGAGTCAGAAATTACTTGAAGACACATAACAACAATAACAACAGTTAGTTCTCCAACACTGTTTCCCCAGTCCTGTTCTAGTGGAACAAGCATTATGAAGCAGACACCAAGAACACCTCTTTACATGACTTTGTTATTCCTACTTGACAGAAAGGTCAGTCAAGAAGGCTTTTTTATATTGCTGTAGTCCTATATTCATCATGGTTTGAGCACTGGTCTATGGCTCTGGAGACCAGTGTTCAAATTCCTACTCAGCCAAGAAAACCTACCAGGTGACTCTTGGCAAGTCACACTCTCTCGACCTCAATGGCAAATCTCCTCCGAACAAATCTTTCCAATACAACTCTGTGATAGGGTCACCAAATGTCAGAAACAACATGAAGGCACCCAACGACAAAAGTTTAACGACACCTCAAAAAGTGTGACACTAGATTTGCAAATACAGTACAACCCCTGTATCCATGGGACCAATACTTATGGTTTCACTTACTCACATCCAAAAAAGTATGCTCTCTCTAGGCATTTTCTAGGTCTTCCTATCCGCGCAATTCTATGGTATGCCTCCAGAGGAAGTTGAGCATACAGTTATGCTGGAAGACCTAGAAAGGTTCTCCAGCATTACCCTATGGTCAACTTCCACCAGAAGTCATTCATTTCAATAGGGTTCACTATTATACACACTTTCATATTTCCATGATAAGTCCATGAACATAACACCTGCAGATACGGGGGGGTCATACCGTTCGTTGTTGTTGTTAGTTGTCCTCGAGTCAACCTCAACTCATGACCCTGTGTAAGAGACATCTCCAAGTGCCCCTATCTTCCACTGCTCTGCTTAGGTCTTGTAGTTTTAGTCCTGTGATCTCCCTGATTGAGTCTATCCATCTGGCGTGTGGTCTTCCTCTCTTTCTACTGCCTTCCACCTTTCTTAGCATTACTGTCTTTTCCAGTGATTCATGCCTTCTCATGATGGGCCAAAGTACGACAGCCTGTACTGTATATGATGTCCATCCTGATATCCTGGGCTCCACATCCTCTATCAGAAAGCAAATACATGCTTACACAGGGCAACCACTACTCAGTGAGTTCAATGGCCAGTTTATTTCTGCTCTGGGAAGGGATGCCACATGGATATGGGAAAGGGAGACCTTTGTATCTCTCCCGCATCTCCGAATAGAATAGTAATTATTTGCAAAGCAGCACTAAAGAGAAATGTATTTATAACACGCACAAGCTTTTTGAACAGGATGAGATACACAATAATTTCATATTTTATCATATTTTTTCCAAAAAGAACGCAGCCTCTCTTTCCAACAGTAAGTGTGTGTGTGTGTGTATCAAATGCTTGTAAATTCAAAGCTTCAAAGGGCCTTTGCAGACTGCCAGAAATAGTGCACATTAAATTGAGGCACTGCCCTGGTTCAGTGCTAGGGAATCATGGGAACTGTAATTTATTGTGGCACCAGAGCTCTCTGACAGAGAAGGCTCAACGTCTCAGCAAAAAATGCAATTCCCATGACTCCCTAGCACTGAGCCAGGGCAGTGCCTCAATTTAATGTGCACTATTTCTGGCAGTCTGCAAAGGCCCAAAATCTTCCATGTTGTTTTTTAAGATATAAAATTCATATAAACTAGGCCATATTTTTAGAGCAAGGACCCTAAGACTCACTGTAGTGCAATACCTGCTTACCAAGGAGCAAGCCCCATTGCAGTCAGTTGGAACTTACTTCAGAGTAGACCAGAGGTTAGATTGCACTGAAAATTAATTTCACCATGGGATCACATTGACACTTTGAAGTCAGCTGTCTACAAAACAATCTATCTAATAATGGCAACTTTCCAACTAATCTCTAGATCTGAACATTAAGAAAAGCCTATTTGCATATTTGGAAACAATGGCTAATTAAAATGAGGCACTAAATTAAACAACAGAGACACACAAACCTAGCCGACTGAAGCAGGACGACCTCTTGCATGAATAAGCTTTGTATGTTTTCTTTTCAGGTTGTTTATTTATTTTTATTTATTTTATTTTTTTGGCCACATAGTCTACTAATTCAGACAGAGAGAGAGAGAGAGATTCTCTTTCCTACCCCATGCCTTTATCAAATGTTATTTCTTTAATTAAACATAGTCAATAGAGATCTCTCCCTCTATATCAATGCCATCAAATTAAATGCTCCATCACATTCCACCATCAGTCCATCTGCTGAACCAGTACAACCAATTCTATCTGTTTCTGATTACCTGCAGGTAAACCCAATGAGAGAAAACATACTCAGTACATACTACAGCTCCCAGGGCTAATGATTACATTTACCTCTAGGTTACTCCACTGTGGTGTAGTGGTTTGAATGTTGGACTACAACTATGGAGACTAGGGTGCAATTCCCTGCTCTGGCATGAAACCCACTGGGTAACCTTGAGCAAGTCACACACTCTCAGCCTCAGGGGAAGGCAATGACAAACCTCCTCTGAACAAATCCTGCCAAGAAAACCCCATAATAGGTTCGCCTTAGAAAATCACCATAAGTCAGAAACAACTTGAAGACACACAACAATTACACTATTCTAAGAGCATGAAACCCACGTTTTGGGAAAGTTCCTTTTGATGGACTAACCTTCCAAAGCAGGGTAGGCAACCTTCCCCTTTTAAGGGCCGAGGGACTTCAGCTCCCAGAATCCCAGGAGCTATTGGCCAACATGGGACTATTGGCCAACATGGCTGAGGCTTCTGGGAGCTGAAGTCCCTCGGCCCTTAAAGGGGAAAGGTTGCCTACCCCTGTTCCAGAGGACTGTTCAAGCCATTGTGTTCCCCATCACCATGTACAGAAAACTGACAGAAAGAAAATCAACTCATTTGAGATGTGGTGCTAAAGAAGAGTTCTGAGACTACCAGGAATAGCAAAGAAGAGCAACAAATGAGTTCTGGAACAGATTAAACCCGAACTCTCCCTGGAAGACAAGATGACTAAACTGAGGTTGTCATACTTTGACCACATCATGAAAAGGCATGAATCACTTGAAAAGACAATAATGCTAGGAAAGGTAGAAGGCAATAAAAAGAGAGGAAGTCCACACACCAGATGGCTAGCCTCAATCAGGGAGGTCACGGGTGTGAATCTACCAGACCTAAGCAGAACAGTGGAAGAAAGGGAGACTTGGAGATGTCTCATCCACAAGGTTGCCATGAGATGAGTTCGAATCAACAACAACAGATCTCCCAGAATCCCCAAGCTTGCATGGCGACTGCCCACACTGACTTAAGGAATGCTGGGGGAATAGTAGCCCTCTCCCTCTCCATGTGTGTGAGCAGTTATTACTAGTAGTATTTCTCCTAATAATGGGCCTTTGCAGACTGCCAGAAATAGTGCACATTAAATTGA